CAAGCAAAGTATCGAAGAGAAAACAGGAAACAAAATTAAGAAAATTTGTCCAAATTATGTTCAAAGTATCGAGCAATACATCAGCGCGCGATGACAGTGGAGAATAAAAACGAAAACGAGACTTTTGAGCGGTTAGCACGGCTAAATTGTGTACGCTGAACGGCTGTAACAGTGTCCGGCGTAACACTTCGTCAAAGAGGACTGGCTTGTGCATTTATCGGACAACCAACCGGATAAATAAACTAAACGGGAGGCGTGTGTTGTGTGTACGTAATACGCCTGCTAATAGCGATGACACTAATAGCTAATGCTATCTCGAAAATGGAATGCGTTGATTCGGTTTTAGCGGAGAGATGAACGGACCAGTCTGCGGAATAGGAAGCTCGTAGACCAGAATCTAGCTGTGGAGTCTAATCCGCTCAGCTTGTCCGTTAATCGTCTTTGCCGGACGTGTACCGAGAGACGTGCACAATGCCATGAGAAATGAAACACTCATCCACAGGTTGCCCTATCTCGCTATTTAGGGTTGGGCCTTCTGCAGAACTTGCGCTTCTCTAATGCATCAGACGGTTCGAAGATAGAAACGTGCGCATCTCCCAAAATTATGTTTACGCTCCTCTGTCTCTCTCTTGTGTGTGTATGCGTGGTGCGTGTGAGCGTGTGTGTGTGTGAGAGTGTGTGTCATTACGATTTAATCAACGCATGCGTACACAGGCTTTCCAATCGCGATTGCTCTTATGGTCTGTGATTGGACCTCGGATTAGCAAACATACGGTTGCATTAATATGTTAGGTTCCTTCCCTTATATTTGTCTTTGCCTACATGAACACATGTTTCGAATCAGTTTGTACAACAAATTTGATTTATACCATCGATCCAACGATTTCTTTCCCAATCCAACGATCCGATCACCCTCCCTATACGACGGACACGTTTCCTTCGTTTTTCTTATACTTTTTGTCGTCGTCGAATCACTCTCGAAAGAAAGTTGTACAAACAGTTTGCCGATTTCTCTCTTCCTTCTTTCTTTTCCTTTTTTCTTTTTTTTTCTCATCTTTTTCTTCCGTTTTCTCGTTTTATCACTTCAGTATATAAATAATTTCAACGCATCCGCGCGAACTATCTCTCTCTCTCTCTATCTCTCTCTCGTTTCTCAGAATGAAATCCTCCCATTTTCCAAAATGTGCACTGGTACTGCTTGGCAAAGATTTTTCTCACATTTCCTTTTTCTCTGCTAGGTGGGCGTTGTGTTTGCTGTCATACACATGCGCCTTCGAATACATCAATCTCTACATATATACATACATATGTATGTGCGCGCGCGCGCGCGCGTACGTGTAGTGGGTGATACATATTTATGTATATATGTTTGTACACAGATTTAGCATTTTCTAAAACTGACAAGAATATATACGTATGTAAGTTTATCGCATAGTATAAACTATGTATACGTCTTATAAAGTACTGATATTACTATTATTGTTGTTGCTGTTGTTGTTGTGGTTGTGGTGGTTATTGTTAATGTTATTACTATTATTTATTAATATTAACTCCTCCTTGTTTTTTTTCTTCTTCTCCGTGCTAGTTTAATTTCCATAAGTACTTATACTTGTACGCGCCACCATACACGTTACGGTACCGGGCGCTTTCTTCACATTAATTATTATGTATTAATTTTTTTTGTTACGCACGTGTATGTATAAGTGAAGATACAATAGTGTTCGCAGGATTCGCGTGTGTGTGCGAGTGTATGAACAGGCAACAAATTTACGAACAGGTGTTAAAAGCAAGGAGATGATTTCGCCGATCTCCTAAACTATCGGTACATTACTTTATATGTATACATATAAATAAATAAATAAATAAGTATATAACATTTTATTTAAATAGCATTTGTGATTCGCCACTGTTGTTTGCCTTTTACAAATCGCACTGAAATTAATGAGGTTACCGCCTTAATCTTAGGTTTACTTTTTGTATCAATTTGTTTTCGCCTTTTGCAATTGTCTTTCCTGTCGTCTGTACCTCTCGTATTTACTCTTTTTAAGGAAGATACTCTTAAATCTGAAGTGTTGTTTTTTGAAGTTGTGGCTAACGATATCTCGTTGTAATTAATTGTTTTTTCTTTTGCGTTTAATCGTGATGCGAATTTTCGAACTTCGCGTATCCTCTGCAATTCTGATTCCGTCACGTTTGCCATTTCTCTTTTCGACATTTTCGTATCAGACTCGGAATTTTCACGAAATCTTTTCTTTCTTTTCTTTTTTTTAACCAAATTTTTTCTGAAATCCTTCAAATTGTTTTCAGTACTTTGCTGATATATTGGAGACGAAGAACTTGACCCCAATTCTCCCTTTGTTTTCTTAGCCCTACATTTTTCAAGAAATTGGTTCAGGGTTATCCTCTCTCTGGTTTCGTCCTTTACATCACGGTCGTCATCATCCCTTTCAGGGAAATTATACACATCGTTATATCGAACCCATTTTCGTGAATATTTGTCACAGTGTCCACACGCAACGGCCATCTTCTTACTTCCTTTTTTTTTTTTTTGTCTCTTTTAAACCTGGTTCCTGCCCGTGATCGTGCTAAAATCGAAGCTCGCATGAAACCACTGGCGGATACACAACGACCGGGCATCGCTCGTTAAATGCCTAATGTTTTTTACTTATCGTGCTTAAAAAAATATTCAAAGTTCGTACGAGCATCGTTGCCACTCACAATATCAGTAGGCACAAATCCTATAAAACTTATTACCAACATAAGTCCCTACGTGCGTTTGTCGGTTACATCTGTTTCATGCAAACAGCTACGCACCGAAAGGGAAGTTCTTCGACCGTTCGTCGTGATCGGATAAAAATGAATTCTAAATAACAAGCAACGCTAACGAACGAAAAAACGAGAAAAAAAGATAAAAACGAAATATATTTAAAAGAAGATGAAAAAGAAAATAGACAAAAAAAAACAGCGTAAGGTACCAAGTTTGTCCTAAGAATAGAGATCGTGTGACTGTGTACGTTTAACGTTGAAAAATATCTGGTCGTATAGAATAAATTTTGGTACGCGAGATGACGTTTGATCGTAATTTTTAGGAACAACTTCGTCTCGACACAAAATCATCTTCGTACTATCTTAATCCCCAGAAACAAAAGGGAAATTATTCTAAAAACAAAATTGCACTTGATTTACCTTCTTCCTCCTTCTCTTTGGTGCCATCGAAACAATAAATACTCTATCCTACTCTCTCTCTCTCTCGGTTAGAAGAAACGAAATTATTTACTCTATGGGAATCCTTATATAAATAACAAATAAATATCTTACTAGAAAACATATTCGACGGCGAATAATAATTATAATACTTCTCCGTTACACACTGTATATAAAAAAATGACTAGACGTAGACTAGCTAATTACAAATCAAAGGAAAAAGCTTCTTTGTTTCTTTCTTTTTGAATTCAGTTAGTACAGACGATCTACTGTTTCTTTCACGTCTCCTCCTCCTTATTTCTTTCATATTCATTTGCTATCGTCAATCGGACAGAAAACGCATCTCTGCGCAAGAAGAAATCGATCTTATTTAATGTCGTCTTCGTCGTCTTCGTCTTCGTCCTGGTCTTCGTCGTCGTTCTCTTTGCCCTGTTGTTACCTTTGTTTTGTTTGGATAATCACAGCCTGGTTGACATTTCTCGGGCGATGCGTGTGTCCGGTCAGTCAAACGAGAACGATTTTGTGAATCAACGAGCTGCGAGAGCGAACAACAAACAGGATCACCCTTGATCCTTCTTTAAATTGCGAAGCGTATAGCGATCAAATCAAACGATCCTTTGTTTAAAAAAGGAACTCCGATAGAGATACATATGTATATGTGTGTGTAATTCCGGCCGGAAATTCGCTCGCAATTTGTGTCTCTTGTTTTTCCTTTCTCTCTCTCTCTCTCTCTCTCTCTCAATTTTACGATAATCATGTGTAGTTAATAATCGTGATCGTAATAATAATAATAATAATAATAATGATGATGATGATGATAAAGGGGGGTAAATGGTAATAATAATAATTAGTATTATGCTGGATAAACAAGCATCGTGGCGCGGACACCGGAGTTTTGTCAAAACGATTCCAATGTGACGCGGCACTAACGATCCCTTTTACGTTTCTTCCTCTTCATCATTTTCTTTTTCTTTTTTTTCTCCTCCTTCTCTCATTATATAAAACCTACAGCGTTAACGCGTGTGTGTATGCGTTTAATATATCTTAAACGTCAGAAGAACCGATAACCCGTGAATAATTCTCTCTCGGGTCGGCGGCGTTTCATTCCACAATTCTGTGTATCAGATATTAATAATTAATATATGTGCGTGTATATACAAGTGTAAGGTGTGTATGTAAAACGTGTGCGCGCGTGTGTGTATATGTGTGTGTGTATTTACGTGTGTTCGTAGGTAGTTTTCATTTTAGAAATTTTTTAGATGTTACGTGAGACGAGCACCCTGTATACGTGATTGACAAATTGTTCTTTTTTCGTTAGGAGAGACCGCAAGCATTGTTCACCGTCTTAGAGGTCTTGCCCGAAGACCGCTAAACATAGAAACGATATCTTAACGATAAACACTACTATCTATATTATTTACGGTAATCACGTGTAATTCGAATGACAAAAAACAAAAAAAAAAAACACAACAGAGATCGCTGTCAGATTCGACGATTTGCTTGCCTTCGAAAACGAAAGATGAAAAAAAAAAAGGTCTGGCGAAGTTGCTCGTTAAAAAGGGGTCGCGCGTGGAGGGGGGGGGACTTAATGAGTTCAACAGAACTGTTGGATTCGTGTTTTTTTCCTAAAAATCTGAAGAGGTATTTCCTTTTGTATTCTATGGATCGAATCGCCGGTAATAGTTAACTTCTTAACAGTCGGTCGGCGAAAATTGCCATGCCGTATTTTATCAGGAACTAAGAGTATTTCTTTGGTTATTGTTGCAAAGTCACCCGTCTTGAACTTTTATCGTAATATATCAAACTAGGAGTTAGTACTGTTCGTCGGAACGATAAACCTGATTGAGAGATTCCTAGCCTCTCGAATCTACTTCCCGGATGATCGGATCTTCAAGTCGTACCAAAATGATGCCTTTTCTTCAGAGAAACACGTATCGAAAGTGTATTTTTCTTTCGTTTCCCTCGGTTTTTCTTCTTCTTTTTTTTTTCTTTTTTTTTTGTTTCATTATATACGTGATACGGTTTTCCATTGTGGCAGTAGGGATCGAGAGTGAGAAGAAACGAAACGGGAAAAGAAATTGTATTAGAATAGAGCAAGAAGAAGAAGAGTTAGTGTGCAGGAGTAGCGGTAGAAGAGGAAGAGTTAGAGGAAGTAGAAGAATATATAAAGGAAAGGAAAGACGGAAAAGATTGACGTATTTCGCTTGCAGTAGACAGTTTCGTTATATCCGAGCATCCGAGAATGTTTGAAGCGTGAATTGTTGGCTCACGTTTGATTTCTCGGACTGGGTTCAGCGCTGGATATTATTAATGTTTCATTAGCATCAGACTTTTCGTCCTCGCCGTGTGGTTGCCGGCGAAGTCGTTCTACTGACTTCTAATTTTTATCCTCTAATTAATTATCTAACTAGTGTACTAGGTTATTATGGTGGAGAGCGTTGTAACGGTGATTCAAACTCGTCACTTCTGATCGTCGAGCGTTCAGTGAGCCCGTATTCTTGTACGACATCTGCAAAATTAAAAATCATCGATACTTTTCAGTTTGTTGATATGTATTCCAATTAAAATGACGTGTCGTGTGCGAAGGTAGAGGATTCGTTCAAGTTTTTAACACTAACGACAATACATCGGAACAGTGGAAAAGTTGAACATTGGAGAGAGACTGTATCGATAAATTGTGGAGGACAATTTTTGATAAGAATATATCACACCGAACTTCGACATTTTTAAATAGAAGGTGTACCGAATATGTTATATTTACTTGTTACTTGTTTACTTTTATCGATGACAATTTCTTTGTTTTTTTTTCTTTGAACTTACTCTGTTTATGATATAGGGTGCGTAACGTCCAGTTTCTCTAAGCTAGGACTTTGGTTAGTATGGCCGGCTTGCGTCCTTGGGCCTTTTTAACTGGACTTTTAAACGCTTCATCCCTATCTGGAAGCCATTCATCGATTGAATCGCTGTCTGCGCGCTTCCTGGATTGTCGAACGACACGAAACCTAAAAGAATCAAAGGGTACAATTTTTTTTTTTTAAACGATTCGATAAAAGAGAATCTTACAGCACAGACATTTCCGATATAACAACGAACGCTGTAAATATACGAAACGATAAATATTAGCTCTCTTTCGAATATCTGAGAACACAGTTCAACCATGGTGTTTAATCAAATGATACCATTCACCGTAGACGATGAAAAGGAAACTTTCTTCAACACGCTTTTTCGATCGTTTTTACTTCGTGTATCTAAAATTCGATTTATTTCCCACGACAAAAAATTATTCAAATTCGTCTGTAGAATTGGCTCCGTGGAAATTTATATAAACCAGGACCACGTCGAAACGGAAATATTGCAACATTGCGAATAGTAGAGAAGTTAAAAGATATCAGCGATAACCGAAATGTAAGTACGTGATTGGCTGTGATATTTGTTGACTTATCGTGAAAACGGAAAGTTCAATATCGACACCTGAGGGTATCAGATTATCTGGAAGCAGTACTCATGGGGGAGGGTTAGCAACGAACGATTTAGATTAGCTGATTCGCCGCAAGGAATAAAAAGTTTTCTACGAAGGGACCTTGTTATTATCGAAGTTTTGCCGAGAATGAGCGAAAGAGGCGAGGGAAAAAGAAGGTAGCACGATAGCGTAGCTCTTAACAACAGAAGCGCCGCTGAAAGGTCATCAGGGCCCTCCCAGTTTAAGCCAATTTTGACCATTAGCCCCGATCCAATTTTAGTTTTGCCATCATGGCGGCCTACTGCCTGACCAATCGCGCCTCTTCATCGCTCGGCGAACATCGCTTTTACTCGGAGTTCGTAAATTACTTTTACTAGGTGACTGAAGAGGCCTTAACCCTTGTTCGATGGAAAAAGATTCCTTTTCTACCCTTTTCTTTCTATTTTTCGTTCTTTACTACGGGAAATCGTCCTATTATTGGATTTTAGGAAAATAGTCGTAGGTATTGCAATTTGCTACGTGGCTAATACACGCACGAGTGAAATCACGTTACACGGAAAATAGTGTTTCGGCTGCAATGCTCAAAGGTACTTTTTCATTCCCCCTTTTTCGTTTTGTCACGTCAAAGACCCTCCACCCTTCTTTTCTTTTTTTCCTTAATTCCGGAAAGCTGATCAGAGTGTAGATTTCAAAGCACCTGCTGATTGCGAGCGAACGACATATTCGCTTCTTCTTTTTTCCTTTATTTTTTTTCATCAACGTCTCGATAATTGCACGTGGAAGGACACATTCTAAAGTTGAGAATGTAATATTCTGTATCCTTTCAACGATGAAATTCATCTAGCCGTGTACACTCTCTACGGTATCCGTATATAATTGACAGCGGAAGGTAAAAAAATATCAATCGTGCCAGTTGCACATGAGAACAGTCTAAGAAGCATGTATGTATCTGTGCGTTCATCTGTGGATGATTAATCAAAGCAGTTGTCGGCGAACATTTTCAATCCCCTCTCTTTGTCTCGATCCGCTTTGATTGACCAAAAAAGACTCGCTGACTTTGTTTCAACGGAATTACAGTTGGGAGATATTTACATTGACATTATGGCAAGTTACGATAAACTTTTGCGCTTGCGAGAATTTATTTCGTATTCGTAAGAAGATAAAAGAAATATAATTCGCAAAGGGAGTTCTCCTAGCTCTGGACAATACCTAGCCTATATTTTTGAAAATTGTTAGAACCGCGAAAACGGAGGAATGATTAGGACAAAAGACGAGTAGGCTTCGACACTTTCCAATTGCCTGTGCACAGGTAAGAAGATCAATCGATCGTTGCGTTTGGCATGAAATCCACGCATCTCGTCAATTAAACAAATTTATCTAATTTTTTCGTGACCAAAAGACACATTTTGTCGTGTTATACGTTTCGATAAGTATATTTTCAATTACTGTGCTTTCTTATTTTTATACAGTAGCTTGTCCGCTACTAGGGGAACTCTCCCTGCATTCTAATCTGAACACTACATCGACGATACTTAAATACCCAACACTTAAAGAATTTTTAAATTATCATAAATACAGGGTGCAAACGAAAGTATTGTATAAAAGGACACGAGGTGATTCCTTGTGCAAAAATAAGTGAAAAATGTGGAATGAAATTTTTTCATCCGAGGCTTAGTTTTTGAGAAAATCGGCTTTGAATTAGCTACGCATACGGTGCAAGCGTACGCACAGAAATTCAAACCCGATTTTCTCAAAAAGCAGGTCTCGAATGAAAAAATTTTATTCCACATTTATTATTTATTTTTGAATAAAGAATCACCTCCTGTCCTTTTGTAGAATACCTTCGATCACACTCTGTATAAGAAATATCTGAGATACACGTTCCTCTGTCGTAATCTTACATTTAACAAGCATCGAAATGCCTTTCTCAAATAACAATCTTCGTAATCGAGAAATTTATTCTACACACTACGTCTCGTTGTTTAAATGGATTTTTTGTTCGTGTTATATTTATCCACAGTCGAAGAGAGTTTGTTAATTACAGAAAACAACCGATGGCAGAATATTGCAAAATGAAAAGTAAAAATGCTACTGAACATGTAAGAAAAAACAAAAAAGGTTGTTTCGATTAGTATATATCATAAATCACAGTGAGAAAACAATGAAAAAACTGATTTTTTCTATCATATTGACTTTCATCCTTCATCCAATCAGCCTAGCATTGAAATCGCTGATATCCATCATCATATATCCATCCTACCTTTGAACAATTTCAGTGCCGGCCCGTCTATCTGTTTAACGGCCTTTCGTTTCTCTCTTCCTGGTCACTTCTCGATCTGTTTTTGGTGGAAATGATACACTTACCGAAGCATTTACTCTGGTTGGTGGCACGGTCGATGAAAACTTTCGAGGATATGACGTTGCCAAAAGGGACGAACATCTGCATAAGCTCACTGTCTCCGAAATCCTGAGGCAGGTGGTAGATGAACAGGTTGCAGCCCTCGGGTCCTGAGATAGAGCATCCTACCATATAAATCAGAGCACATCTAAACATCTAAACTTGAAGTATAATACTCAAGTTAGAATGTTAGTTCTGGATGAATTTACTTTCTTCAGAATATAATGATTTTTTCGACGCGATCGGAGAGTCACCTCGCATATTAGCGGGGATACGTACATTCTTCTCTCCTTGTTCTTTTCGATTCTCTTGATTAGATGCGTTTTTGATGAATGAAGATGAAGAATTCGTGATCGTCTCTCAATGACATATCTGATTTCTCTCTCGTCTCACGGAAGTACAAAGGACGATAAGCAGATAGTGAATGTGTTGTTACCATGAAATGGCACGATAGGATGACTCGAAAATAAACATCGGACAAAAATTAAACGAAAGGAAGGGCTGCTCGGACAAAGCGAGATGATACCATGCATGTGGAAAGAGAAAACGAGAGGAAGTAACAAAAAAAGAAAAAAAAAAAAATGGAAAGAAAGAAGGAAGAAGCGAAAATGGAGGGCGAAAGATGAAGTTGAAAAGCGGGAAAATTGCGGAGGGAGAATGAAGTGAAAATTGGA